TACTGAGGAGTTACAGTTACATAAGTCAGGTAAACAGCACATTTCTTTTTTGAACAATGTCAACCTTCCCTCACTGTCTCCCATTTTTCCCCTCCTGTCCCCACCCACAAGTTGTATAGTTCATTTTCAGCATAGCATCATGTAAGAAACCACTGCTGCAGTTGTTTACCCTTTGTCCCTCCATTTTTGTGAATTAGCCTGAGGCCACTTCTTTACAGGCTTGACTCTCTCCCTCTCCTCACGTCCCAAGTCTCTCTTGCAGAGGAACAAAGGATTAGTACTGAATGTGCTTCCCAAATACCAGCCGGGCTCCAATGACAGTATGGCAGAGAAAGTGCTTCCTACCAGGCACTCTGCCATGGGTTGACATGCTAAATGCAAGCCTGTTGTCTCCCTTCAGGTGGCCCTATGAGCTGCTGTCCAGCCCACTAAGAAGTCAGACCCACTTCTGAAGTTTTGCATGGGTTCTCATGATGCAGAGGCCTATGTAGAGGGAAAATATAGAAACCTCTTTTTTTTGTCCTGGTTAGTCTTGCTTTTATGCTTTCTTGCTTATGGTTGCACTCCACCACTTGAGCCATGCCTCCACCTTTACTTCTTGCTAGTTAATTGGAAATAGTCTTACAGACTTTTCTGTCTGAGGCTGAGTTTAAACCGTTGTTCTCTAGACTCAGTCTCCAGAATAGCTAGGATTACAGACATAAGTCACTACCACCTGGCTCTCCCCCACTTTAATAATTGAAAACTGAGTGGGAGGAGGAAACCAAATGGCTTTCTAAGACCAAGTCAGGCTTTTTCCCCAACCAAATAAAGTGGCTGCTTTTGACTCCATATTTTCATCTACCTGCCTGTACCTCCACTCCCAAGATGGGCCAAGGCAGCATGCTGTCAGCCTGCAATCTGGAAAGGGGATCTTTGGTGTAATCTATCCCAGAGAATTTGATCTTGCAGTTACTCATCAAGCTTTATAGAACCAACTCTGCTTATGCTTGATCAGCCATAGTCTGGGACTTCCAGATATCTGCCTGATATTTGTAGACCTAGGCCTTCCCCCTTCCCCATCCCCCCACCTCAATCTTAGGGCTTGACCTCAGGGTCTGGACCTGTCCCTGAGCTTCTGCTCAAGGCTAATGCTGTACCACTTGAGCCACAGCACCACTTCAGGCCTTTTCTGACTGGTTTATTGGAGATGAGTCTCATGGACTTTTCTGCCTTGGCTGGCTTCGAACCGCAGTCTTCAGATACCAGCTTCCTGACTAGCTAGAATTACAGGAATGAGATACTGGTGCCTGCCTACCTAGGCCTTCTTGTAGAAACCCAATAGATACAAATCTGGGTTACTGAATACAACTGAAGAATGCTGACTAGCTTGATGGAAGGTTACAGGGGATTTCTCAGTTTTACCAATGGAAGGATTCCTTCAAAACTGTAACTTCTCTCCCCAAATTTGAATATGCTTCTTGTTCCAAAAGTCTAATCGATCAGCAACATTTCTAGCATGTGTCTGTGGTGGAAAGTCAGGGTCACAGAAGCTGTGGAATTATGGTATTTTCTTCTGGCCACAGGTCTCTGAATAGAATTTGTTGAGGCCCGAGGTTAAGAGAGAAGGGAAGCAATCAGCCATCTTGTCTCCAAAGGACCTGGGATGGTTTACAGAATGTGGGTTGTCAGGCACTGCTTGAAAAGGGAGACAAAGAGGGACTCAGAAAGTTGTCAAGGTTAGACACAAGCTGGGAGGTCTGTCAGCTTCTGGCAGGATTCGGGTTTTGAGGCCTGAGAGCAGCTAGTCATGGTTAGAGAGTTGGGGGAACAGGGAGAAAGGAGAGAGGCTGAAAGGGCACTGCTGTATGGTGTGGCCTGGGCATCCATTGGCAACATGAGAAGGGAAATTCCTGCCAAGTCAGGGAATGAGCCACTGGGAGAGACGGTGTGGTTGTCTCATCAGGAAAGTGGTGATCTCAGCTTGGCTGGCCACACCTGGCTTGGGGCTCATCCAATGGGTAACTAAAATATGGGGAGCCAAGTAGAGAAGGTCTGATAGGCCAGGGGCATCAAGGTCATGGAAAGGTCAGCCAGGAAGGTCATCCTAGTAGCTCATGACTCCCCAAGGTAAGAGCAATGGAAGATTTGTTTGGGCTATAATTCTCAGATCATGGGCTGTGGTTCATATTGAGTGGCTAGGAAAGGTGGGAACTTATGGGATTCCCACAAACTGTGGGCTGTAGGGCACTGGCAGGCAACAGGGCTGGTCACCATAAGTGGTTTACAGAGGTGACTTCTTTCCCTGTCCATTGCAAGAGGAAAACCTTATCTCATGCTCTTCCTTGAAACTTCACCCCTGGTTTAAAATACATACAGGAAGGCCCTTTAGTCTTCAACTTCATCTGCTGTGGCCCTGTTACCTTTTCTCCCAAGAGGTGGGTCGAGAAAGCAAAAAGATGAAGGTGATGCTAAGGATTAACATTTATCCAGGACTTACTGTGAAGCAGAGACTGCTATTTGCTGAGATTATTCCACCCACTCCTCACCACACCCTTGTGAAGGAGGTTCTCATTTTCTTCAAATGTTTTATTTATTTATTTATGTCAGTCGTGGGGCTTGAATCTGGGGTATGGGTGCTATCCCTGAGCTCTTTTTGTTCAACAATAGTACTCTAGTACTTTGAGTCACAGCTCTGCTTCAAGTTTTCTGGTGGCTAATTGGAGATGAAGAATCTCACAGGCTTTCCTACCCAGGCTAGCTTTGAACCTCAATCCTAAAATTTTAACTCTCTGAGTAGGTAGGATGGCAGGCACGAGACACCAGTGTGGGGCTTTTCTTCATTTAAAATTTTTGACTTTTTATTTGTATCGTTAGTATAAAGGTGATATACTAAGGGGTTACAGCTACATAAGTCAGGCAATAAAGCGCAAGTCTTTTCTCAATTAAAAAAATACTGGGGCTGGGAAGGTGGCTCAGTGGTAGAGCGCTTGCCTTGCATGCTCGAGGCCCTGGGTTCGATTCCTCAGCACCACATAAGCAAAAAGAAAAAAGCTGGAAGTGGGGCTGTGGCTCAAGTGGTAGAGCGCTAGCCTTGAGCTGAAGAGCTGAGGGACAGCGCCCAGGCCCAGAGTTCAGGCCCCACGACCGGACCCCCCAAAAAAAATACGTTTTTTATTGTAAAAAAAATACTGTACAGAGGGGTTACAGTTATGTGAGCTAGGCAATGAGCTCACTTCCTATCAATCATTGCTACCTCCTCCTTTGTTTTCCCCCACTCTCCCTTCCCTCCCACCTCCACAACTACACACACCCCTTCCCCCCTCCCCACCCAAATTGCAAAGTTCGTTTTTCAACATAGTGTCTTGTACATCTCATTGTTACAATGGGTCAACCTGTATCCCTATTTAAACATTTTGCTTTGTCCCTTCCTGTCCCCAAGCTAGAGAAGTGTATACACAAGATGCGGGCACTGGCATCAAATACAGTGAAAACAAATTTTAAGCAAGGAAAGTGAGAGTCCCGGAGTTGACGTGATTTGCCCAAAGTCACAGATTTGCTACGTGGTGCTGCTGGAATAGGAATGGAGATCTGCTTAATGTTAAGAGATCACTAAACTCTTAGAAAAACAGGAGGGAGGGGGAAGCCCTTGTTAATGAATTTGGGGACCTACCATAAACTTGAGAGGATGGCTTTACCACCAAGAGACCAGCATCCAGTGGCTGGAATTCCTTGAAAGACATGTATGTACCCGTTTGTGAAAGGAAAAGAAGTGGAAATTTGCTCTTGGTATTTGTTTTAGAGACTTGACTATGGTTACCAGGAGGACTCGGGGGTCAGTGGCCTAGTCCAGACACCACATGACTAGCTCTGTTAACTATAATCTATAGCGGACTTCCCTGCTCCACCATCATTCCTGTCCCTTAGTTTTGCATTGGTGATTATCTTTGCTGAGGCTGTGAAAGGCAAATGCTGGTAGCTGAGCAGGTCCCAGTAAGGGCCCTCCTTCCCTGCGGCCCTGTCAAGCTATTTTCTGACAAGGAGGCTTGGTTAGGTCTCTCCTTCAGACAGACCATCAGTGCTGTAAGAAATGACCCTTTCCAATAGAGTCCCAACCCAGTTCCTTTTGGCTAGCTATAGAACAAGGTGGGGGCTGGTATGGATGGAGAAACAGATCAGAGAAGGGCAAGGGAAGGTCACACAGTAGAGCAGGTTAGCTTCGACCATAAGAAAAGGGTGAAGATGGATTTCCTTTCCAGTCCCTCAACTCTGTCTGCCTTTGCACCTGTAGTGTCAGCACCTCCTGCAGATTCTTATTCTCCAGGCTTTCCACTGGGGGCCTAGGTTCGACTTCCAGCCCAAGAGAGTCTCCAGTCACACCAGCTACAAAATGTGTTTGGACAGGGATGTCTGGGGTTTGACCTGTTGTTTCCAAAGGGTACCCTGTGGACATCTTCTGGCTTCACTCACCACTAGGCCAAATAGATCCACACGCAGCAGGCACTGAGTAATGGAGTGTAACGCCCCCCCGGCCCCCCCCCCAAGCATCAAGCAAGTGGAGTGCACAGGCAAAGGTGGCTGGATGCTCGCAGCCTTCCAGATTCCCCAGGGTATGGATTTCTCTGTGAGACATTGTGTGGGACTTCTCTCTGAAATGCCAGAGCCCAGCCGATTGCAAGCTTCATGGGGGTGCTTAATGGGGGCGTTGTATTCTAGCTTTCCTCCGTCTACCGGGGCGAACAAGATCAAGCCTGGAAGAGAAGGAGAGGCTGCGCGGGCCCTTGGCAACGCTCCCCTTGCCGAGCTGGCGACCGCGGGGGGCCGGAGGGGTGGAGTGGAGGGGCGCTGTTTCCACTGAGATGCCTCTCGTCTCTCTCACCCCTCCCTCCTTCACCCCGCCCGCTGTGCTTCGTCCCTCCCGTCGATCCCTCCCTCCAGCTCTTCCCTCCCCCTCGCCCTGCCTCCTTCGCGCGCCCGCCCCAGCCGCCGCCGGAGGGGACGTGTGTCTCTCGTGCAATTTCCCCTTTCGCTCGGTTGTCTCAGTGCTGATCTCCGCTGACTCGCATCCCCGCCGCCCCTTCCCTCGGCCTGGCCAGGCCAGGCCCTCCCCGGGCCCATCCAGATCTCCCAGCGCGCCCCCGTCCCCCATTCGTTTTATCGGGGGCACCGCCGTCTCACCTGGTATTTGCATCTCGCCCTCCAACTTGCCATTGGCGGCGCGACGTGTGGGAGAGCCGTGCGCCTCACCCGCCCGGACCAGCTTGCCCCGGCGCCGAGGTGAGTCACGGGCGCGGTGCGGCGGGGGCAGGCGGGCCGGGAGGAAAAAGGGAGGGGACCACGGCCCGGGCGGCCACGGGGACGGACCGGGCGCCGCGCTCAACTTCCACTTCTCCTTTCCCGGGCGCCAAGCTCCCGGCGCCACTTACCCAGCCCGGCTTTCGAGGGGGGAGAAGACGGGCTGGCGGGGGTGGGGACCTGCGCCTCAACCCCACAAACGGGGAGGGGGACCCCTGCGACTGATCCCAGCCCAGCGATCGAGCCTGGCCCTTAAACCCCTCGGTCTCAGGTATGTCGATGGCACTCGTTCTGCGAACTTGGGGAGACCCCCTCCCCCCGCCCGAAAAGTTTGACTGAGTGGAAGATCAAGGGCGCTGGGATCCTGGAGCCGGGTTGAGCACCCCCACCCCCGGGAAGGGTGAGAAAGCCTTGGGTGTGTACAGTGCCGCCCTTGCCTCGCTCTGCCGCGTGTACGCTCGCTGGAGAACCCGAGCTCCTCATCCCAAGTAGATGTGGGATCGATCTCCCGAAGTCCTAGTGGGGAAGCCAATGTTCCCCCGCGCCTCAGGCAGTCGTGGGTCCGTGGAAGGGCTAATTCCAACAGTAGCCCCCCCCGCCGCGCCCCCCCACCCCCCGTAGCTCAGCGCCCCAGGACAGGAGATGGGGCGGAAGGTGGCGGGGCTCCTAGCTGGATCCGCCGCCCCGAAGGACGTTTGGGTCTAGGCGCCGTAGGGTCACAGAAACATATGTAAACTTATGACTTGGAGAATTGGATTGCCAAAATAGACACCTCTTGGCAGAGGCTGGAGTTTCCGTGAGAGTCAGCCCCAGCCTTCCCGCTCCGGCATTCCCGCTCTCTCCGGTTCTCCCGCCTCCCTGTTCCCTCCTCAACTACCACTTTGGGGAATCAGCAGCCGCCCAGCACCGGACTCCCCGACGTGAGAGACTTGCTTTGGAGGTTTGGGGGACTGCCAAAGTGGCAGTCACTTTATGAAGTCTAGGTCTCCCCCCCCCCGCTTCCCCTCCCCCACGGCACCCTAACCCTGCTTCTCTTTCCTCACGACTGTATGCCTGAAATGTGGCCTTCCTAACTAGAGTCACATCTTGACTCTCTGACACCTTGGCTCAGCCTAGTTCTCTCCGATGCCCCCCAACCACACCCCAGCTGAGAACATTTTATGGCACTTTTGATTCCTGCCCCTCATCCCTCTGCCTAAGATAGAGGCCTGTCTAGTCCTGCAGCTTCTTCTGGTTAATGTTTGACAGTTCGTTGTAGCTAATCATTTTAATTAGCTCTTAAACTAGGGAGGAACTGTTAACCTTGGACTTCTCGATTTGGGCCTGGTGGGGCCTCAAATGGGAGGAGTGCTAGCGAGGTTGGGAGGTAGGAGCGGAAGTGAGGTCACCACCCTAGGGCTGCTGGCCACAACAGCTGGTGGGCACGCCCATTGGGGACTCAACCCTTGAGAACTGACCCCTGGCCTGAATGCCAGGTTAGAAGGTGAAGGGAACCCTATCAAGTTCTCTCCTTTGAGAAGACACGTATGTGCAGCAAAAAGGTCAGTCCCTCTTTTGCAATTTATCACTGGGATTTTTTTTATGATTATAAAGAGTTTCATTGACAATTAATTGAGGGCATCCGTGCCAGAACAGGCTAGTGAGAGCTACAAGGAGCCGAATAAAGAGGATCCCAGGAAAGACCTGGAGCCAATGTGAACAACAGGCTGCCTTACTTGTGGTTGTCTCTGAAGCTGGTTTCAAAGCCCAAGATCTCTTATGGGGGGCATGAAGGAGGCTCCACGTTGCCACCCTCACCAGCCTCTTGCTGTGAGCCGAAGGAGTGGCTTGTTTGCAATTATGTCTGGCATTCCTCCCTCACTGAACTGTGTTTGCTCCATGGTTACTCAGGAACTGGCGCCCACCCCTGGACAAGCCAGGGGCCTGAAAGTCATCCTCTCAAGTAACGGCACAGTGGCTCCCATCTCTTCTGCAATACATTCCAAAAAAAAAAAATAAGGATACTGAGGGTTTGTCTGTCATCGGCCTTATTGGTATGTCATTCAGAATGCCCCTGTCTGCAAAACCCAGGGCTTTTGTATGGGGGAGGCCCAACCACTGGTTGGCAGTGTTGCTTTCCCAGGGAGCTCTCTACTGAGTTTGTCTTTGGTCTTCTTCATACCAGCACTACCCTCAACTTTCTCATTTTTACCTCCAGCCTCTAAAATCAGCCTTTACTTGCCATGTGCCCCTAGTCAAGTGTACACCTCAGTTTCTTTATCTGACAGTGGAAATCTACCACATAATATTGGGTTGAGGACCAAATACATGGTGTAAACCTTCTTATATGATGCTGAGTGAATAGAGGGGTGTAGAAAGGGGCCAAGGAGATTGGATAAGCCATCTGTATAAATGACTGCAATGTAAAGCCAGGTGTGACTCCCTAAGCTAATATAGGGAGCCAGGCACCCCAGATTCTGGAGACTTGTCCTTTCCTAGAGACTGTATCTGGGTCTTGGTCTGGATACTGCCTGCCCACAAAAGCTTGCTCTTAGCTTGCCCTAAGGTTTGGGTGGATGAGATGGGAAGGAAGAGCAATCCATGCACAGGCTTAGGTGGCAAGCATTCAGGGCGTGATTCATTGGGTATTGGGCAGGATGACATTACTTACTATCACTCTCCATACCACCAAAATCCCCTTGAATGACAAGTTTACATCTGGCCTGCGCCCTGCACATCTCGAAGTTTCCCTGCTGAATTGAGAAGGGCTTTGGGCAGCCTTCTCTCTTCAGGCCTGGACCAACCTGGCCTTGGTTATCACTCCTGGTTTTCTAAGTTGTAAAGAGCTTTCTGACTTGGCTGTCAATTCATTCTCTTTGTGGTTCTCAGACTGACAACTTGTTCGCAAGGGAAAATGGAAAGTCATGCAAGGGACCCAGAATCCCATGAGTGCTTTCCTAGGGGTCAGGGGCTTTTCTCATTGGTACCAACCTGTCTGCGAATCTCTGACTGCTGAACCTCACATATCTGTAATAGCAGCTGTACAGCTAATGCCCTGTAGCTCGGGCCCCAGTGCTGGTTGCCAAGAAACTGCTGGTCAGGGTGCTTATGAGGGTTTTGGCCACATAGGGGCTGATGAATTTCAATTCAACAGAAATGTATTAACACCTACTGTGTGCCCAACCAGCGCTGTGAGTCCTGGGGAAGCTGAAGGAAAGAGGTGGTGGAACCGAGAGAACTAAGGACTAGCAGTTAGGCCAGGGGCTGATCAGGTGCTAATTGTGCTCCTCGGAGCAGAGGCCAGCACAGCCAGGACTCTGAGGTCAGCAACAACTGGAGGAGGGAGGGAAGGCTTTGTGAAGGATGTGGGCGGGCTAGCTAGAGCTAGACCTTGAAAAGGGGCGGGGTCAACGAGGGGGAACTTTGCCTGGCAGAAAAGGGAGAAAAGACGCCTTTCTCTCTCTTCTCTGCTACAGACTGACCTTCAGAGACTGGATAATTGTTTGGCAAATGTATGTCACATAAAAGACCAGGTCAGCGAGTGTGGGTGGCTCCATGCACACCCAGATCTCCACGTTAGGACATACAAAGTGGCTGGCCCAGACAGGGAGCCCCAGTGTGTATTGATAAGACACAAAGGGTAGCTAGGCTTCCATGCCACCCAAGCTGAGAAAATTTTATTCTGAACCAAACTCTCTCCAACAGACACACAGGCCACTGAGGGGAGGGAGGGAGAAGAGAGGTAGGGGAAAACAAAGCTAAGGGAAACCGACATGTCACAAATGTTTATAGGAGCCATGGGCTGTCCTACCTTCCCTAGGGTTTTAAGATTTCTAATGGAACCCCAGATGTTTCGGTAGTGAATAGAGATTTTCATACTTGTCAGGAACTAAAGTCTAGAGATCCCCCCCCCATATGTTTCTGCCCAGACCATCAAGGCCTAGCTATATATTTGTTCTATTGCTTCTGTATCTCCCATGGCTGGGTGGAAAGGAAATCTTGGCTCTTGCTGAAGTTATTTGGATTAAAATCTCCTGATTACCCCCCATCAGTTTTCCTCTTGCTGTCCCATTTCCCTGCATCCCCCTCAGCATGTTTCTATACCTAAGATATATTCTCATGTGCCCTGAATTCTTGGCTGGGAAATTGTGTTCCACAGTGAGTTTCTATGTAGAAATCCAGCCCACTTCCAGAGTGAAGAGGAGACTCTGACAGCAACGAAGGTTGTTCTGTGCAGGAGGGACTACAAGGGAAAGTGACAGAACGTTTCTCAAAGAAGCTAACAAGAAATCAAGAGGCTGCTGGGTGCTGGTGGCTCATGCCTGTAACTCTAGCTACTCTGGAGGCTGAGATCTGAGGATCACAGTTCAAAATCAGCTGAGGCAGGAAAGTCTGTGAGACTCTTATCTCCAATTACCTACCAGAAAACCGGAAGTGGGGCTGTGGCTCAAAGTGGTAGAGCATTAGCCTTGAGCTAAAAAGAGCTCAGGCCCCAAGTTCAAGCTCCAAGACCTACATAAAAATAAATAAATAGAATCAAGACGCTAAGTAGCTTGCCCAGGTCCCCACCTTGGGGATGGGCCATTTTCTTGTACCAGTGGGTAGGTCCTGCCTCTCAGTTCACCAACCCTTTCTGAAGCTTCCTGTGGTCTTCCAGACTGACCCCATACACTTCTTTCTTTAACTAGAGGAGGAGCACAAGCTCTCTGCTTTCAGATCCTAGACCTACCACTCCCTGGATGGGTGACTATTGTCCTAGTTAACTTTAACCACTCTAGCCTTCAGTGTCCACTACATAGGGTTGGAATGGGAATGAAATGAGATACTGCCTATAAAGCACTTGCATTAGCACCTGGTACATGGCAACCACCCACTAAGTGCATTATTTATTATTATTTTTATTTCTGTGGCTGCATTACTGTTGTTCTTATCATTTCCTTTCCACAAGCCCCTGACTTTGCCAGGCTCCTGGGATCAACCATTTCTCTGGCAGTGTGGGCAGG